TCTTCTCTCTTTTCTCTCTACAGTTTTTGCTACTTGTCTGGGTCTGGTGTACATATATGCCCGTCACCAGTACTTCTGGGGATACTCGGAAGCTGCTAATAAAAGGTAAGGAGAACCCAAAGAATTGATGTTTAGGCCAAAAGCAGCAGATGGAGTCTGAATTAGTTTGCTGTTCCTGAGAGTATTAACAGCACCGAAGGCCGTGATGGCTAAGGTGACCTATGTTGCCTGAGGCCACGCCTCCCCAAGCCCATGCACAATTAGGCACAAGACTGGAAAGTTCAAGTGTAAGTGCACATTAAGAGCGCACTCTTACACCGGCACACTTTCAATCCTTGCAAAAATGTTGCTCTATCTCCAAAAAGTTACCAAGGAAATAATCCTGCCCAGCCTTAATAATCCTTTGAATGTTCAAAGGAGCCAATTAACCTTCGTGGTTAGGCATCACCTTTAATTTATGCGATGAATCCAAATTTTCAAATGGCCCAAACTAGGAAGTTCTGGACAGTGTCAACAGTGAGCAGCCAGCCCCAGGGCACCCCAGCTTTACCACTGTAGCCCTTTGTCACCTCCCTCCCTCATCTCTGCTCTGCAGGATGACTGGTTTCCAGTTGAGTCTGGGGATTTTGGCCTTGTTGACCGTCCTAGGAGCCCTGGGGATTGCAAACAGCTTTCTGGATGAGTACCTGGACCTCAATATTGCCAAGAAACTGAGGCACTTCTAACTTTCCCCCTCCCTTTGCTCAAATGCTTGCAAAAGGTATTTCTGCTCTGAAGGTAGCATGGTATCACTTATTCAATTAAAACAAAAATAAAAGTGTTGATTTTGTTTTTATTGGAATGGCTTTGTAGAAACACATCCTTTGGAGATTAGATTTCTTGTTTGTTTAAGAACTGAAGTTTGCTCTGAGGGGATATATCTGTATCCTCAGTGGAAGCGTGCCGAGTCCTGGTTTGAGAAGGGCACCCTCAGGTCCCAAATGCCCGCGTGGGGAGCGAGCCGCCTGACTCGCGTGCGAGGCTTCCCATGGACCGCTGCCATCACCTGCCTCTGAGACTGCTTCTCCCTTCATGGAAAGTTCCAGACAGATGCTGATAAGGCAGCCGAACTCACTTCATTGGAGGCAGAAAAGCAACCCAGATGGCTGCACGTGGCATACACATAGAGTAGCCAGAGAAGAGAGTCACCAACTAATCATGCAAAATAAATCTGGCTGTGAAAATGGATTTATAAAGAAAAAAGAGGCATATTATTTTCAAGGAACCATCTAGAGACCTGTGCTGTGAGTGTGCTTGCCCCTGGCAGGGAAGAGGAGGGTCACGGTCAGGCGGGGCTGGGCTGGGCTCTGGCGCACTTCCTGTCTCACCCGGGCTTGGGGAACCATGGCTGTTGTGACCCTATGTGCACTCACTGTCTGGCACACTTGCAAGTGACCTCTGTTCACTTTCTTCACCTGTAAAATGGGAATAAGTCCACCTCACAGTCCTCAGGGGCCTTAGGAAAATGGAATTATGAGCCTATAACACCACATCAGGAAAAGAGTTCTCTGTCGATTTTTCCAAAGAAAGCTGAATGTCTTGAGTCTGATGTGGATGTCTTCAAGAAGCTGTTTATTGAGACTTCTCTTTTTTGTGGGCACACAGGAAGTCACAAAGGTTATGAATAATAGTAAAAGAAATAAAGGCATTTAAACACCAGTGTTTCCAGAACAGGAGGGGAGAAAGCAATGACAACCTCTTGCGCTCCAAGTACTAGTACTAAATATCCCAAAGTACGCAGAGAAGGTTTTGGTCTGGGGACAGGGATATGTGGACACAAGCCCTTTCCCCCCGCATTCGCTGTCAGGCTTTGGACAAACACCTCACCAGTGGAGGCAGTGCAGCCAGGCGGGGAAGGCTCCGGAGCCCCAGCGCTCATCCTGCTCGGCAACTTGCTGGCTTGTAGCTCTCTGCCTCAGTTTTCTCAAAGATAAAATGGGGCTAATGCTCTAAAATGCTATGATTCTGTGGTCTTTTACTTTTGAGTATTCTGATCAGTATGGTGACTTGTATTGTGACATTATTATTATTTTAAAAAATGTATTTTTATTGATTTCAGAGAGAAGGGAGAGGGAGAGAGAGAAACATTGATGAGAAACATCGATCAGCTGCCTCTTGCATGCCCCCTACTGGGGACTGGGCCTGCAACTCTGGCATGTGCCCTGACCGGGAATCGAACTAGCGCCCTCCTGGTGCATGGGGCCACGCTCAACAAACTGAGCCACACTGGCAAGGTTATTGCGACATTTTAATTGTTTTATATACTAAAAACAACAAAGAGAAAGTGTGCAAATATTGGACCCTAAAGCACAATTACTACATAATCATATCCTTCGGAAGTGGGGGAAAACCCCATAATTCTTCAAATCTTACACTTGAGGATTTTTAAACAACTTCTATCTTTCATCTAAATTGAAACTACTTAATTTATAAACACACACGGTTTTGGTTAGACAACGTAGAAAAAGAAGATGGGTGTACCACAATATTGGAGCTTTGTATCTTTAAACATCTGAACTACAGAACTTATTTCTTTTGTTCTAATTCTGTTGTCACCAAGGCAACCTCTTGATCACTTTAATTCCTACAAATCTGGCTACAGGGAGCAAATGTGCTGGCTGGAGAGAGGGGAATTTCTGATCTCTTGGACAGTTACATATATATTTTTTGCATATTAGTAAATTGACTAATTTTATTTCTACAAGTCAGGTTTACTACCTCAAAAAGTCAATGTTATGAAAAGGGTGGTGGAGAAGAGCTTTCCTGCCTTAAAAGAGTCTTAAGAAGCATGAAAACCAAATGGCAGTGTAGATTCCTCGGTCAAATCCTGGTTAGAACAAAACAGCGATGGAAGACATCTGGGGGGCAACTGGGACAATTCGAATGCGGAGTGGGAGTGGTGTGCTCTTGGGGAGTGAATGTGAACTATGTTAGGTGCTAGGGGAGAGGACGCTCTGATTCTTTGGAGCTGCGAGCTGAGGGGGGCAGGGGGAACTGGCAGGAGTGTGTATAACTCGCTTTGAAATGGTTCTGCAAAATAAATATGTGACTTGGCAAAGTGTTAACAATTATTGAATCGAGTTGGTAAGTGTAGATAGTTATTCGTTGCACTATTTTTTTCTATTTTTCTGATTTTTTGGAAAATGTTTCACAAAGTTTAAAAAATCTAAGCAAAGTTAAATCCTGAAAGCAGGTAGTCCTTGGTAGCTCCGAAGCACTGTATGCTTGATTTGGGATCTGGGGTGCCCGTAGGGCCAGCCGTCCCGCGTGAGGCCGGGGCACGTGAGGCCCAGGTGTGGGGCGCTGCTGTAACGACCTCCGCCTGCTGCATGAAAGAAAACAGGTGTCTGTGGTGGCGCGGCCAGAAGACACCAGAATGGAAATCTAATGTCCTTAGAGCTTAAAAGCAAAAGGAAAAGAGATTAGAGGAGAAAACCAGAGAAAAAAAGAGGAAAAGATGAAAAAGAAAATAAAAAGATAAAGGACTGGTTGTACAAGCAGGTGTCCCCCCCCCCCTTTTCTTTGCAGGTTGGAGGTGGGTGGGGTGTGGCCCACAAAGTAATTCATAAGGAAAAGTATCAGGTAATTTGTTTTTCGCCTTTTTTCCTCCTGTCTTCCTTGAAAAGAATGGTCAGAGGCAGAAGTGACTTATCTAGTGCTTCTGAATGTTCATTAATTTTCAGCAAACAAAATGCATCTTTCTCCCTGGGGCAGATGCCTACTGACTTCCTGGGTAGATGTTCTGCTCTCTCTCCTTCCCTCACCACCCGCTCACTGCACTGGGATTTTATAAAGGTCAAGACGATTACATGCAAGAAATTGTTTTAAAGGAGACACGTATTCCATTCATTCAGCGAAGAACACATTTTCACCCAAATACAAAGATTCGTTTTAATTAATCTGGACTAGGAGTACTCAGTCCTTCTCAGAGCTTCGTGTTTGTTCTCCTGTGGTCAGCACCTCCACACCCCAACCCCAGATTCTGTTCATTTTTTGCTCTCATGTTACCCAATGCCACATGGTGTGATTTCCCAGCTAGTCTGGAACCATAGCCCACTGTGGGTAGGACTGGCCTCTTCTTTCACAGTCAAGTTCATACTCCCTCTTGGTTTATATATATTAAAAATAATTTTCATTTTGGATCTATTTTTGACTCTCCTAAAGTGGTCTTAGGCCAGGTCTTCTAGAATTGAAGTGGGAGAGTCACATGTGTGTGAATTGTTAAAAGGGCTCCCGGGACGGGAGTTGGGGAAACAGGGCAGAGAAGGGCAAGAAGCCCAACTAGGAGGCAACTTTAGGCAAAGTCCCAGCCTCTGCTTGATCCTGCAGGGGGAGCTCTGAGACATAAATCCTACCTCCAGGTTTGTCCAAGAAATAAACCGGGCTGTTACCTTCCAGTAAGGATGGAACCTTTTGTCTAAGCACTTTAACTCTTTGTAGGTGGGTGCAGCCTAAGCCAGGGCCTGGCCCAGGGAGTCCTCCAAAGAGGTGCAGCTGGGCTCGCAGATGTAAGACAGTGTGTGTATGTGTGTGCATGTGGACAGTGTCCACTCCAGTGGGGCTAAAATCCCTGTGTCATTTCCCCCCCAATATATTCCTTGAGTTTTCTTACCTTTTTTTAAAATAAAATTTTTACTATCATTTTCCCAAATCCTCTGAATGAACCAGGTGGATTTGAATTGCTATGTTGTTGAATCCACAAATGGACTTTCAAAGTTGACGCTCCTCTGTTCCCTTTGCCACATCCCCCGCAGTGCAAATTTAGAACATATTAGTTATGTGGTTGAATTAAAAAGGCTGTGAATGATTGATTGCTCTGTACTGTTACATAAATGTTTAAATAATGATATCCAAATTTTGAGACAAGAACTGCAGTTAATCAATTAAAACCCAGGCATAATATATCTGCTTAATTAAGGCTGGGGATCCAGTGACAATCCAAAAATAAACTAAACTTTGGGTTGGTTCAGATAACGATCTTTTATTTGTTTTTTTTCTTTAAAAGTGGTATGTCAACGTCACTTCATTTCTACATTTCAGAGTTCTGTACATCTCTTAAAAGGAAATAAGCAATGCTCAATGTACAAAGTAAAAAGAGAAAACTAGAAAAATCTGAATGAAATGGAGCAAGTTGCCATAGGCCATACAGTACAAATTAGTAATCAGATGCCATCTGAAGTGCGATACCACTGCTGTGATGATGCGTTAAGGGATGAAATAAAAATACTCTATTTTAAACAAACAGTATATATATATTTATATGTATATTTTTTACAGATAGTAGACCCAGTGATATCTGCAGTATTGTAAAAACTTATTTACAAATAACTTTTTTAGACATTACATATACATCAGCACCGTAGTAAAAACAAAACCAAAACAACATTATTAAAATCTACCTCTTTATTTAGTTGGTCCCAGGACTGAGCATTCGGAGGAAGCTTTTAAGAGGGAATAGAGCCACTTCTCCAACAGCCACCTCTAGCTTCTCATCATTGCTTATATATTTATTTCCTGTACCTTTCAGAAAAAGGTATATACATATTCTGTCTTCATGTTTGTTTGTGTTTTTTTTTGGTTTTCATCTGTTTCCACTCAGGAGTTTCCCTGGCGGTGTCTGTCCCCATGCAGGATGTTCACTGTCACCCTGCTAACACCTGTTCCCAGAGAGAGCACGGCCCCTACCTGGGCTCTTGCCCACCTGGCCACCTGTCTCCATGCTGCCCCTTGCTGAACGGGTCTGTAACCTTGGGACCTGGTGAGCAAATCAAGGCAGTGCTCGCCTGCCTGCTGCCTCTGCCCCCTCCGCCCCCAGCCTGCCATCCAAACTCCCTTCCAGGACCTTCCCCCAGGGCTGCCAGGCCAGTTCCTCACGTCCCCAGCCTGGGCTCAGCTGTGGCGAGCTGCATGTGACTGCCCAAAAGGGAGCCAGCCTTTCGGACACGGAGGGAGGAGGTGGGGGGAGAAAAGCACACGTCACTCTCACTCACTTAGGACAATAACTATGCACATGGCTTCCAAAAAGGGACAGTGGGAGGGGAGGCGAGGACTTACACATAAGTTCTTGTAAATAAGAGACAAGCCTCCCGATGGGGGAGCTCGTTGATCCCTTCCAACAGGCTTCAGTTAGGGCAGGTTTGAGTGAATGACACAGAGAACAACTGTACAGGACTTTGGAAGTGGATGACTTTGCCCATATGGAAGGAACCATATTTTCCTCCTTTCTGTCATCAAAACACGTGAGGTGGAATAATTGGTTTTTCAGTGCCTCATCTCTCGGGTTTAGATTTGTCTTTCTGGTGAGTAGGGATTAAGGACAAGGCCGATTTTAGAGCCTCACCCCTGGGATTTTCCCACTGGGAGCCCTCCAGGCCGGTCCTTTCTGGGGACACCGGAGGCGTCAGATGCGGTGCGTGTAAACCCACACGGAGCCTGCTCAGTTCCCGGCAGACTATTCCGTCAGCTCCACGCATGGCAGAGAAACACTCCAGCGTCGCCTTGGCATTCCAGGCATTGTCTAAGCTCTCCTTGCATTTATTGTGACTCTGCCCAGGCTCCCTAGAGACAAAAGTTTCATTTCTTCTTGGGAGGACGCTGTGATGGATACAATGAGGGACAAAGGTGGGGTGGGGGAGGACGGTGGTCATGGGGCAGGCGCACAGCATCCACCAGGGTCTCCCTACCCTGTGGTGATGGAAGTAGATGGAAGTGCCTTGCTGTGTCACTGTCATGCTGGGCTCCCTGGAGGCTCCAGCCCAACTACTGGGAGCAACGGCCACCACGGTCACCAGCAGAGGGCTGGCTGCCCCCAGGACTGCAGGACCCACCCTCCTCCCAGCTCACTTGGCTATCCTTGTGAGGCAGCCAAGAGCAACGCCTCTGACATTCCTGAGGGTCATCATGGGGCAGGAGCCAGGCCTGCAGGAGCCTTTGTAGTCTCCCTGCGACGGCTCACCATTCTTCGTGCCTGCCCTCAACATCCAGTTGCACATCTTGAAGCCTGACATCTCTTTCCAGCCAGAGCTCAGCACATTTCTGACCTGTGCTCTTGGCCTGTGCAATCACCCAGCAGCCTCTGTGGGGCTCCTTCTGCTCGAGGCTCTGTCTCTTGTGTCTCCAAAGCTGCAGTCTCCGCACTGGGCCAGGAGGGGCTGACGGGTGCCTTGCCCTGGGCAGCAGTCGGTCTGGGCTGGAGCAGCTCTTGCTGGGCCAGGCGATCACAGGGCAGGGAGCTCAGGTTCGTCTTCCCCACCTGCCTCTGGTGTGTCTTCCTCTCTCACAGCAGGGATCTGCCCGGTGTCTCGTCTTGACTGCTGTGTGAAAATCAGGTGAAATGAGGCCCCGCGGGGCTGTGGACTGGCACCTGGATCTTCCACTATCAGCCAGCTGCAGTTTTGCTCAGTTTACGTGGGTCAAAAAAACACAAAACAAGGATGGGTCCACATCCTGTTTCTTTTGCCCATTTGGGGCCCCTCTTGACTAGGGGTTTCCAAACAACTCATCAAGCTCCTGCATCCACTCGTCCCCTGGCCCAGCTTTGATGATGGAGTCCACGAGGTCGGCACTGTCCGAGAGGCCCGGGAAGGAAGCCCCGGCCCCTTCGCCACTGTAACTGTACGACATGTCCTGGGGGGCAGTCCGCTCATAGGCTTGGCTCTGGCCACTGGGAGCAAAGCTGCCACTGGGCATCTGTTGCTGGGCTGGAGGTTGGCTGAACGCTGGCATGCCGGGGACACCCTGGCTTAGGCCAGACATAACCATGGGCCTGGACTGACTGGTCCCTTGCTGACCCGGGAGTGGTGGCATCATTTGCCGACCCATGGCAGCCGGGTTGAGGGTTCTCACGGCACCTGTGTTAGCGTCCACGACCTGGCTCAGTCCCTGTGGGAAGTGTTGCTTGGTCAGCCTCGGCTGGCCAGCTTGAAGTGAGTAGCTGGCACCATTGCTGAATGACCCTAATTCTCCACTAGTCCTCCCAGGCATCCCCTGTAGGCTCCTCTGCTGCCAACTCTGGGCTCCCTGCTGGACTGTTCCCATAATGCTTTGCAGCCTTGGTGGGCCTTGGGGTCTCGGCAAGGCCTGGCCCACTGGCCCTTTCATTTGTTGGTGCTGCTGGGTCATGGCTGAGTTCACCAGCATGCTCTGACCAAACCCACTCACCATCCCAACCCCTTGCCCGGAGGCAGGCTGCCTGGGTCCCTGGGCTTGGTTGTGTGCGATGCTCATGCCACTTTGGTTTGGGTGCTGCAACATTTGGGTCATTCCTGGACTCATATTGTACATTCCTGGTTGGCTGGTAGGCGTGGTGTTGTAAGGGGCCAGCCCCATCTCTGACTGGGCAGTGGCTGTGGCCATTGTCCCTGGGTTCTGGGAAGGTCCCATTCCCATCATGCCTGCATTCTGTGTCATCAACCGTGATGTTCGCATGCTCTGGAGGGCCGCTTGGCTTCTCACGGCTGCTATGTCCTGTGGAGAACCTGCAAGGGAAAAAGGTTCATTCACTCTTCTCGATAAGCAATGTACTCAACCAAGGTGCTGGCTGGGGTTTTCTCTGGGAGCCCCAATGCTTTCATATGAAAGGATCTGCTCTGATACCACATCCTTAATAAAAACAATTATTATTTTTCTGCTTATAACACATGCTGATTGTGAAAAATCTGGAAAATATTGAAAAGCACAAAGATGAAAATTAAAGTCACCCAAGTTCTCACCCTCCAGAGAGGACCACTGCTAACTATTATTTATATATAAAAAGACACACACAAAGGAATTGGGATCATACTGTACACACACTTTTGTAGCTGACTGTTTTACTTGATTACCGATATTTGTTCACATTTCAGGAGCAAATTATTTCTTATACTTCTTGATATGATGCCATCCTCAACCAATTAGATACCCTTTTTTTCTTGGAGATGAGAGGGAATTCACCCCCTAGACTAAATTAAGAAGAAATGGCAATCTCTGTGCGTATTCTATTTGCGAAGTAGAACGCGGTTCAGTAGAGAATATGATCAGTAAAGACCATTAGATTAATTTCCCTTAAGACTTGAGCAGGATTTGAGAGGTTAAAGGCCACTGCTTCTGCTCAGAAACTATGGACGGTTTTTTGGACCCACTCTATAGATTTCCACATGCTCCAGATTCTCTGAATCATTACATGTCAGTACAAACTGGCCAGCTTCCTGAGCTAGAAAAAGAAATCATCCTGCTACTTGCTACTTGGCAATGAACTTGACGGATCTCTCCAGTGAAGTCCACTCCTTGAAATCGGCAATGACTACGGCTGCTCTCAGCAGATCACTAACAGAGCTTTAATGAAGCCGTTTTAAAAAGTTGGCCAGAGTATGAACAGGCCAAGTCACTCCACTCTAATCAGGCATCTGAGTGAGGCCTTCGTTACCGGTTCCCGGGAAATCTCCAAACCAGCCAGGAGGACAGAAATGTCACCCTTCCAACTCCAGTCGATGTAGTAAAGGACCAGGAGGGGCACACAATGGATTTTTCTACGTCCCTGATAATGATTAAGTCTACGAGACAAAGAAAAATAGTTTTTTTTCCTGGACATTTAAAAAAGATGCAGCATGGGAACCAATCAATATTATAAGCAAATCTGATCCCCCCTGGAACTGAGACGAGAAACCAGATGAGAACAGTGTAACCTCGTTAAGCCTGGCACCTTGGCAGATAACTGAAGTGTGTTTTTGTCTTCCTGATAGGGGTATTGATTTCTGGGCAGCAAATATGTCTCCATACATTATTTCTTTCTTTAAGAAAGAAAATTACAGGAATTTTGATTATGACTTAAGTTTTTGAGGCTTGAGATCAATATCATTCTGCATTGAAAAATGAAGGTTACTGTAGGGAAACCTGAAAGACCCGGGGGCAATCCTTAGAAATGTTTCCATTTGTTTTGTTTTAAGCTTAATTATATTGAAGTGATTTTTTTAAAAAAATCAAAAGTTCCTGATTAAATACTGGATGGTAGTATATAGTGCAACTTGTAATCTTGTTATGAAGTTTTGTGACCTTAACGACTAAATTTGTATCGACTGCATGGCCAATCTGATCAACTGTGGTGAAATGGGTTATTGAGTTGTTTATTTAAAAATTTAAGGGAAAAATATTGCTGACTCAGAGATGGATCAGATAGACCCAAATTACACACACAAGCTTCTGGGCTGCTGGAAATAGATAAAAAGACTTTACTATTTTGAAAATTTTTGTTGTATGTTTATAATGGACATATTGAGGGATATTGTCTGGACTGGATATTGTCTGGACTAAGTTTCTGAATTAGAAATAGTTTCCTCTATTAAGAGGGCAGAAATGCTGTGATGTCTGCTAATAGGTATTAAAAGATGAATCCAAGCCAGCCTTTGTTTTTACTTAGTATAAATGGCTACACTATCTAGATGTAATTCTTATGGGAAAAAAGGGGCATTTTAAATTCAGAGATCAGTGCCATATTTTCAAGAAAAACAAAAAGCATTTTATTAATCTAGTTCTGTGCCTTTAGTAATTTTAACTATATACACAGGAAAATAATTCAAATGTGCCCGAAGAATTAACTTGCCTTTATCTGATTGCTACGTATGTTAAACAACGGACTACTTTTTGTTTTTGTTTTTGTCTAAAACAGGTGAGACACTGTAGTCAAATTAATGTTCTTGTCTACGTTAACATCACAATGTCAAAGACAATCTTCCATATTCTAATAGAGGGGGTAATACGACATTTTTTCTGAAAAGGGGTCTATGTTCTATTTTCACTCACAAGATGCCTGTATTTGTGAAAAACAAGCATTTCCTCACAGGCATGTAACACTGCCCAGAGACACAGAACTCAGTAAAAGATAGTCATTAAAACCTTGGAGATGTGTAAGTTCTCATGCAAATCATTCCTACCAGAACTTCTCTCCAAGGACAATATTTCTTATCTATCAGTTTTCTATTTTCCAAGATATATAACATTATGATATCTAGAGTATTAGTAAATACATGAGAATACTGAAGATAGTTTTTTATATATTTTTCAGCTCAGGAACCCATTGGTTGTTTAGCTTAAGTGTAGCTAAATTTTTAGGTTGATTAACTGTGCTTTGAGGTTTTAGAAAAATTCAAAGAGCAGAACTTTTAAATTGGAACCAAAGAATTCAGAATAATTCATAATGGAGAGGAATTATTAAATTTTGGTGGTCTCTTTATTCCAAAAAAATAATAAATGAGTTATGAACCTAGAAAACCCAATGGACACGATACCGGGTTTATCAGATTTCATATTTTTAATAAGTTCCCAATATAAAGCTCCAGTTCTCAAAGTGTGGTCCTCCAGACAGCAGCAGCAACTCCTGGGAACTTGTTAAAATGTAAATTCTCAGGTCCCACTCCAGACCTCCCGAATGAGAAACTCCGAGGGGTGGGTGGGTGTCTGTGTTTTAACAAGCTCTGCTGGGGATTCTGATGCAGGCGAAGTGTGAGAACTACAGGAACAGAGGAGGCCCCGTGTCTGCACCAAAGACTAACCATGTAACGACGACTATTTTCCACTCCTCCCCACCCATGGCCAGGTGAGAAACAATTCCTCAAAGAATATTGGCACTAATTTAGTGTACAGAACACCTGTGGACAGCCCAATTCCTTTCGTCGTTCCCTGTGCCAACTGGAAGGGAGTGGTAGCCACTCAAGTGTCAGCATGTTCACGGGCCGTCTTCAGCGAGCTCTGGCTGTGAACACCAGCGACTTTCAGACTCTAAACCACAACTCACAGCACATGATCCAGTATATACACGTGCAGGTTTACAACAGGAACACAAGTTTCCCTTAGGATGTCACACTCTGATAGTTTCTTTTCTATTTTATTTCATTTAAAAAATGTTGATTGTGGCTTGTTCAATTGTCTTCACAATCTACTTGTGTGTTGTAATCCAAAGACTGAAAAATGTTACCTTAGTTGACAAATTTTTCACCCACAGCCTATGGAGGAGAGCAACACTTGTGAAATGATACGCAAAGGCTGTATTATATTTTTATATGAGCATATTTCTGTGCAAGGAGCTTCATAGCTCCTGATAGGTTTGCAAAGGGATAGGTGACCCGTGAGAAGTTAGGACGCATTGACTTAGGTCCTATGAAAAGGGAAAGGGATGGGAATTAGGATTTCTACTGTTAGGGTCCCCCTGTAGCCCCCTGAGAACTGCTGTGGATAGACTGGGAAGGGTCCTCAGGCTCATCCTCCACCCCACACAAGAACCTCAGGGCTCTCTTTATTGGAGATGGAAAGGATGAGACTTGAGTGGACCGTCTCCTTTATGAAAGAATGGCATATGGTGCGCCCACGTCTAAGGGGGCCGTGATTTGGGATTTCTGCAAAGGGCAGCAGGATCAAGATAGCCCAACTATCCTCAAGGCATTATCTGTTTCTATATTCAGTAAAGATTAGCCAGAATCTTCCACTTCAGCTGCTGGAAGTGACGGCTTTGGCCAGCTGACCTGCCGGGATTAGCAAAAAAGATGTGGTACAAGATTTCCTGCCTATGGTCACTGAGATGATGATCTGGACATTAACAAAGCCGCTATTGGGCCAACAGGCACCGGCATGTTCCTACTGGTTGCTGAACTATTGAAATACTACTTCTTGTACCTTTTGCAAAGAACAGCTGCCTCAGTCTCGCAGAGCCACTCTGACCCTCCCTGAGCCCACCAGGATCTCTCTGGGACCCAGCAACCAAAAGGTTAATGCCTGGCACAGCAGGGGGTCTCCAGGAATGCATTTTGATTGGCTGGTACAGTTCTTAAATATTTTTAATACTACCTGACACAAACATATCTTATAAGGCAATGTTACTGGCTACACAGGCCTCACCTTGAAACTGATTGACCTGCTGCACCGGGTACGGATTCCGCTGTGGCTGGAGGTGCTGCCGGGGTAAATGTGACTGTTGCAGCTGCTGGAACAAGAGAGGACAAGAAGGGTGGAGGTGAGATGTGGACAGAGCACACCATTAAATAGCCTGCCATTCTGAGGAAGGCAGGGTTTTTTCCAAAACCAAACTTCGTATTGAAGAATAACGTGCATACAGGCAGGTGCACAAAGCTGAAGTGTACAGTTTGATGAATTTTCACAAATGGACACACTGCTGATAACCAGCATCTAGATCAAGACAAAGAACGTTGCCAAGAACCCCTTATATCCCTTGCCAGTCATTACCCTTCATCTGACCCCAGGGAACCACTGCCCTAACCGAGCAGCACAGATCAGTTACGTCTGCTTCTGTCCTTGATATGATGGATTTATACAATGCACTTGTGTCTGGCTTTGGTGTCTGGCTTCCTGTGTTCATTACATTTGGGAGATTCAGCTATGTGAATGTATGTAGTTGTGGTCTGTTCATTCTCCCTGTTGAGAAGTATTCCATCCTATTAATACCACAATTAATTCACCTGTTCTACTAGCAATGGTCATTTAGGGCGTTTCCAGTTTGGGGCTGTCCCAAATACCTCTGCTATGAACAGCCTGGTCCACGCCTTTTCTGTGGACGTGCTGGCTCATGAGGAATGTGTACTGAGCCAGGCAGCTCTGACTTTTCAACATCAGCCTGCGAGTTTTCCTTGGCATTGTAGGAACAGAGCTCAAAGGGACAAGCGACTAATTTTGAATGACCTAAATCGATGCTTTGGGTATTGGAAGATGGGATTCTCAGGGGCTATAAAAAAGGCTAATCTTATTCTCATGAGGCCACCCTGCCTGTAAAGTCCATCTCCACAAGAAAATATCCAGCATAAACCGTGTGGGACTCCACGCGGACCGGAGCCAGGGGCCCGCGCCAGCCTGTCTTCTTCCACCCCCGGGTTCTGCTCTGCTCGAGCTAGCCCCATATTCTGGCAAGGCTATTACGATCGCTATCACGCTGCACGCGAGAAGGGAAAGAGGATCAGAGAGAGGTGGCGAGAGCAGAGAGAGGGGTCTTAGTTCTCGGTCTGCCGTAAAGTAGCTCCGTGACCTTCAGCATGTCATTTAACCTCCTTCTGCAGCTACTGAATATTCATTAGGGATCTTTCATCAGCAAGGGCTACAAAGAACATACAAGGGCCCTGCTCTTTAGAGTGTTCATTATAAAAATAACACACACTGACCACTTCTTAACATGTGCTTATTTTTATTTTTTCTCTTGTTTTCCTTCTTGGGCAGTTCTATAATTTTCTTTTTTT